GTGTGTGTGTGTGTGTGTGTGTGTGTGTGTGTGTGTGTGGACAGCAGCCTTGCCCTCCACTTGAATGGCATTCTGCATCAGCTGAGCCCGTCTCGGAGAATCTTTTCACACAGTAATTAAATGTTTTGAATCCGCGTTCTAAATCATCTTTTCAAAACTGCTTAAGGGCAATTAAATTACCCCCAACAAACCTGACTCTGAAGATGAGGCAGAGCAGCAGCGTGAGCGAAGCAGCCGCTGGCAAAGACAGCAAATATTTTCTGTGTACGACAAGTGCTTTTCCTCTTCAAAAGCTCTTTGTTCCCTGCTTTAGCAGCGCTGAACAGCAAACACTTCTGAGAATCTGGGCAAGCCACATCCATGCTCTCTCCATCTGCACAAGCCACTGCATGAATGTGAGTCTGACTATCAAACGATAGACCCATCCATTACTGTGCCTTTGAATGCCATTAGTGGACAATGGAAGAGGTTGTCTTTGTTAATATTGGCTTTTGTCAAGACTAGAAATTTAATTAAGTCAATTTATTAGAGAAAAAAAGGCCATGTAGGAAAACACTTGTAACCTTATATGAACAGGAACCACAGATTATGTTCAATTGTGATTTTTTTTCCATTAAGATGCCAATGTTTGTATTCAGACAGAGAGATACATCTGTATAGCAATGCTGCCCAAACAAACTGATTGATTTTTGCATCAGCTATTCAACAGAAATGCATCATCCACAGATGACACACTCAGAAACCCATTCACTCTGGAAATATGTAGAAGACAAGACTTGGAAAAAATATACTGTAAGTCTATGCATTTCTTTTTTAAATTGTTTTGTCTTAAAATGAAAATATTGTATAAAGATATGCATTTTTGTGAGATTTAATGAGATGTGTCAGTGCCCAGAGAATGTGTTAAAATACTCTCAGCTACTAGTATACATGACTAAGTTAAAGTCCCTTTGTGTTAGTAAAGAGTTGACTTTATGTGTAACGTTTAAAACCAGATCTTCTTGATCAGTTATCATTTCATGAGTTTGATTAAAATGACTCAGTAGCTATGTTTACATGCACAAAATCTTTTGATCGGATTGAAATGTATTCGGATTAAATAATCGGAATGTACTGTTTACATGGACACAATCCGATCATGAAAAGTGTTTACATGCACAGGACTTTTATTCAAAATAAAAGTCAGGACATGCGCAGTGTTGTAAACTTTCAGCTCTTCTTCCGTGTTACAAACGTAAACAAAGCTCCTCTGTGTGCTCAGGAGGGGCCCGTGTCAGCTTTTAATGGTAGAGACGTCTTTACTCCTCAGTTAAGCTGCAGATGAAGCAATACGTGTTTTTTATTTTTATTTTTTGCGAAGCAACGTCTGCTGTTTGTCTCCTTTTTATCTGTTAAGAGAGCGTGGAGGAAAAGTTCTGCACGGTGCAGCGCAGCTGGAGCGCTGCTGTCCCACCTCCTCTAAAGGGCAGAACCAGGTGAATGAAAGTCAGAAGACCTGCGCACTCAGGTCAGTTTTCTACAATCAGAATAAGATGATCCGATTAAGTGTTTACATGAACATCATTCCGATTATCAATCGGCAAAACCCACCCCTTTCATTCAGATTAAAAATTRATTCGGATCGAGCTCAATCGGATCAGAATAATCTGAATGGGCTGTTTAATCCGATTACTTATGTCCATGTGAATATAGCTAGTGTTCTGTGTTAATCAGGTGTAGCTGTACAACCAAGGATTACCTCCTTTCAGTTAGAAAATCTGTTCACTGATTCATGAGATATTTTGCTAACACTACAGACAAATCAGCACACACATGTAAAACTTTATTATCATTTGCCCTTGATGTAAAATCTTGATTTATTCAATTTATGCTCGTTGACAGCACTTTTGTGTTGCACCTGAAAATGCTTATTTCTAACTGCAGTGGTGAAACCCAGCTGGGACAGTTACTCACTGGGGTTAAACAGCAGGAGGAACTTGAGACAGGCAATCTCTCTGCGATCGACCTGCAGCGTCTGAAGCCTTGCTGCCAGCTCCTGACCTCTCTGGACCAGATTGGACAGAGTGGCCTCACCCTGGGACATGATGGACGATAATTCTACCTGCAAACACAAACGAAAAATTAAGATTAGCAGATTAGCAGTGTTATTTTATTGTGTGTGTGTGTGTGTGTGTGTGTGTGTGTGTGTGTGTGTGTGTGTGTGTGTGTGTGTGNGTGTGTGTGTGTGTGTGTGTGTGTGTGTGTGTGTGTGTGTGTGTGTGTGTTTAAACCTAAATGTTTTTTAAGCCTTCACTATGAAAACAAATCAAAATGAATATCTGAGAAGAGAAAAGTTAGAGGATAATATGATCTTTCACAAACGTTTAGGCACATGTTTTATTAAAAAATAATTATTAGATTTGAACTAATTAACCATTGGACCCAAACCACACAAAGATGGCCTCCACACCTAAATGACACATAAGAAACACTACAGTTCTATTAATATACAGATATTTGTTAAGATTCAACACAATCTGCTTTTTTTTGATTGATTGTTTTTTGTGTACAGTTCCCTGAAACAACGTTTGTTGTGACTTGGTGCTATATAAATAAAGTGAATTGAAATGATTTTTGAAACGGTTGTAGCTCAGAGTCATTCACATTACTTTCTCCAAGTGCTACACACTGTGAGCTTGTTGCTTCAAATTTTATCAATAACTGTTGAAATAAACTCTGTCTGTTAGCAAAATATCTTGTGAACCAATTTACCATTCAGACTCAGGAAGCTAAGAAAGTAAAAGCATAAATCTGACACACCAAATGCACTAACAACAACAAGCTGCCTTTTTTGGACCGCTGTGTGAGGAATCCAACTCACACAGGTCAGATCCTTCAGTCTGAGTCTCACTGGAAAACAAACTTTCTGTCTTCAGTCGGGCCGAACACATCTCCATGAGGACAAAAGGAAAGGAAAAGGAACAGAAACATAAAGCTCTCCATACATGTGGCTGTCCTAACTGTGCTTTTGTCAGTACAGTAAAGAATTCTAATAAAACATGGCTCAGAGCAGAACAGGGAAAAAAACAAACACATCGTGGTGCATTTCAAATCTAACAGGACCCTCAGACCAAGTCTGGTCCAACCTAAGGACAGAACCACTAAACCCAAGCTGAGCGGTGTGTCTACAGCGCAGTGAGGAACGTTCAGACTATAATACAGGTGCTGGTCATAAAATTAGAATATCATGAAAAAGTAGATTTATTTKAGTAATTCCATTTAAAAAGTGAAACTTGTATATTATATTCATACATTACATACAAACTCATATATTTCAAATGTTTATTTCGTTTAGTTTTGATGATTACAAATGATAACAAATGAAAATCTCAAATTCAGCATATCAGAAAATTAGAATATTACTGAAGACCAATAAAAACAAAGGATTTATAGAAATGTTGGCCAACTGAAAAGTATGAACATGAAAAGTATGAGCATGTACAGCACTCAGTATTTAATTGGGGCTCCTTTGGCCTTTATTACTGCAGCAATGCGGCGTGGCATGGAGTCGATCAGTCTGTGGCACTGCTCAGGTGTTATGATAGCCCAGGTTGCTCTAATAGTGGCTTTTAGCTCTTCTGAATWGTTGGGTCTGGTGTATTGCATCTTCTTCTTCACAAAACCCCATAGATTTCTATGGGGTTAAGGTCAGGAGAGTTTGCTGGTCAATTAAGAATAGGGATACCATGGTCCTTCAACCAGGTACTGGTAGCTTTGGCACTGTGTGCAGGTGCTAAGTCCTGTTGGAAAATGAAATCTGCATCTCCAAAAAGTTGGTCAGCAGCAGGAAGCATGAAGTGCTCTAAAACTTCCTGGTATGTGGCTGCGTTGACCCTGGACCTCAGAAAACACAATGGACCAACACCAGCAGATGACATGGCACCCCAAACCATCACTGACTGTGGAAACTTTACACTGGACTTCAAGCAACGTGGATGAAGTACCTCTCTTCTTTTCCTCCAGACTCTGGGACCTTGATTTCCAAAGGAAATGCAAAATTTACTTTCATCAGAGAACATGACTTTGGACCACTCACCAGCAGTCCAGTCCTGTTTCTCTGTAGCCCAGGCAAGACACTTCTGACGCTGTCTGTGGTTCAAGAGTGGCTTGACACAAGGAATGCGACAGCAGAAACCCATGTCTTTCATACGTCTGTGTGTGGTGGTTCTTGAAGCACTCACTCCAGCTGCAGTCCACTCTTTGTGAATCTCCCCCACATTTTTGAATGGGTTTTGTTTCACAATCCTCTCCAGGGTGCGGTTACTTCTCTTGCTTGTACATTTTTTTCGACCACATCTTTTCCTTCCCTTCGCCTCTCTATTAATGTGCTTGGACACAGAGCTCTGTGAACAGCCAGCCTCTTTAGCGATGACCTTTTGTGTCTTGCCCTCRTTGTGCAAGGTGTCGATGGTCGTCTTTTGGACAACTGTCAAGTCAGCAGTCTTCCCCATGATTGTGTAGCCTATAGAACTAGACTGAAAGACCATTTAAAGGCCTTTGCAGGTGGTTTGAGTTAATTAGTTGATTAGAGTGTGGTACCAGGTGCCATCCATTTTGAACCTTTTCACAAGATTCTAATTTTCTGATATGCTGAATTTGAGATTTTCATTTGTTGTCATTTGTAATCATCAAAATTAAACGAAATAAACATTTGAAATATATGAGTTTGTATGTAATGTATGAATATAATATACAAGTTTCACTTTTTAAATGGAATTACTGAAATAAATCTACTTTTTCATGATATTCTAATTTTATGACCAGCACCTGTAGAAAAACTAAAGCTTTTCACAGGACCACAACTCAATACTGGAGAGCAGACAAGATATGAATCAGCTCTGCACCTACTGGGGTATAACATTTCCACATTACAGGGCAGACAGATGGTAAAGGAAGGTGAAGGAAGCCCTTGACGTTACACAAGAAAAAAACTACTTTAAACCAAGGAAGAGGTTTCAAGCTCCAGCTTTCTAAAATGTACATTGACGCATTAAGCCTGATACCCAGTCAGTTTCACTCCAGTTCACACCTTCATGTGACCAAAACATTTATTTATGAACCAGACAACCAACGACGTTAACGCCTCTGCACTGGGAGGAGATTGAGAATAATCTCCATCTGAACTGAGCTTCTAACAGAGCATCTGATGCAGTTTAAAGAAGACATAGGGTGCTTTTAAATCTATTCTTTTCTTCATATTTAAATCCTTCAGTTGAGGTCTATATAAAGTAGAGCTGCATTGCTTTGGTCTGAATAGCTCCACAAGCCACGCCCCTTTTTTGAGGTGTGTCTCAGATCAACTCATTGCGAGGCTGTCTCTTTAACTCCAAACAAGGCTCTTCACACCCTGCCCCCTGCAGCTTCCACACATGTTCATTCTAGTTTGATAGAGGAGTTTAAGACTATATAGCTGCACAGAAACTTTTTATTTACAAACTAATTAAAAGACGTCAACAACAGAAGACTGGTCCATCCAGCATTATATGTTGGACCCAGACTCTGACCCAAATCCAGTGGAGAATGAAGACCACCAAGTTGGTAAGTCCAGACCTTAATTAAAACTCCCATTGTGAGTTATTTGACAAAATATTTCTGAAAACGTCATAGAAAATTGAAGAATCTGAGCCAAAACAGAACTGCAGCACCAGGAGAAACTAAATTCAACTTTTCTGCTCCAAGTCCACAACAAAATGTTTGTCACACCTTAAAAAAGTTGAACTAGCATGATGTGTCTCCTTTAAAGACTAGAAGTCCACAGTCTAGTTTTGCATGAGATAATCTCCCTACATGGGAAGCAAAACATCTTCAGCTACAGTTGTTGCTTTTGTAGAACTCATTGGAATCATTGCCTCTTGGAAACAACCCAAATCAAAATGGCTGCCACAGTCAAGTGACTTTATCAGAGACAAAAACGGGTATAACTGGGAGTTATTAGCATCTAAAGATATTGCATGAGATTGCACATAACACTGTTGTCAAGGTTTGGCTGAATCACAGCACTCTGTCATCTTTCAACCTGAAGTGATTTTAGTCTAATATTCTGGCATAAAAACAAATAACCTTGCCTTATATTTCATTCTATTTTTTAAATTCCCTACACATTTACTAGTATGTACAGTTACAGAAAAATGAAGTAAAACACTAATCTTAAAAAAATAATAAATAAACAGTAATCAGATTGATTAAATGGAGGCAATAATTGGTTCAGTGTCTTATTCAAGGAAAATTCAGCTGCATACAGCCAGGAATTGAACCTTTGATTCTTTTGTTGGAGAATAAAAGCTATGACCACTGAGCCACAGCCAAGTCAATAATTTAGCTAGATTTAGTTCTAGTTGCTTTATTTTGCTAGATTAATCAAACATGTGTGCTCCCACACCGAAGCTACAGCTCGGAGATCTGGAAAGAATCCAGTTTAAAATCCATTCTGGGCTGAAGTTGTTAAACAAACAGTGAGTGAAGCAGAGTGTGCTGGGCTGATGGGAAGTTGTACGAGGGAGTTGTTACCTCTTGGCCGGTCACCAGCAGAATACTGTCTTCCTTTCCGTGTTGCACTTGTCTGAAAATGTGATCCAAGACCAGAAGTTCGGACCAGCAGTTGTGCAGCAGCTTCATTTGATCTCCCACCTTCAGGAAACACACACAATAGAAAGAAAAAAGATTTTTTAAGTATAAAGATAAACACAGTCTGAAGTTCTCTATTTAAAGATGATTTATAATATTCCACTACCACAAAGTGAAGACAGATCTTATTGTTTCTGCCTATGTCTGTCTTTGCGTGTCAATCTGTTAGCAAAATATCTCATGAACCACGGTACAGTTTGTAGTGAAGCTTGCAGAGAGTAATTCCTGGTTTGAATTCTATGACAGTTTCATTTTGGACTCAAATCAAGATGGCTACAGTCAGCTGACTTTAGCCGTCAAAACTCACCAACTTTTCATTTGCTGTGGTAGTATCTGAGTCATTCACAGTGCACATTCTGAATTAGAAATTACGTATCATGGAAAATCACACAAAAGACTGACTGAATGGCTCCAAAACACTTGTTTTTCTATAATATGATCTCAGTCTGGCACTTTCTTCAAGGATAGACCTAAGCCTTAAACTTAACCTGCTAAAAGGCTGAATCCTCTTCAAAATTATTTCAGTTTCACTGTAGAAAGTACTTAATGTGTGGCAAAACTGCACAACGTTTAAGAAAATTAACACAGAAATGAAACCCGGTGTGTGAGTTGTGTTTGTCTTCTCATGTCTTACATACAGTACATGCTGGCCCGTGTTGTGTATTTATGAGCCCCACGTATCACGCCTTCAACCTGCTGACATCAGCATCCCCACCTTTCAGCCCCAGTCACACCTGCTGCATTTTGTGTGTGTGTTCACAGATTGAGCCCCCTCACCCCTGACCCCACCCCACTGCAGTATTGACAGTAAAGTGAAGGACATGTTGGCAAGTAATTCTGCGGCTGCTGCTCCTAACGGACCCAAACACACATTCATCTGACACGAGCTGACAGAATTACTGTCCATCTGAATCAATCAGTGTTGGTGGAAAAGGTCCAATCTGGTGTGCCGTCCAGATCGCTGCAGTGGTGGGGGTCTGTGTGTACAGTGATAAAGGAAGAGGTTAAGGAAGCAAGAGGTCTTGGTGACCTCCTGTGCTTCCTCTCCAAGAGGAGCTGAATTCAGTGGCTAAAAAAAAGAAGGCTTTGGAAAAACCCTTCAAACGAACTGGAAACACAGAGCAGCTTCATTCTGGTCACCATATATTCTAAACATTTCTCTCTCCATAATAAAAATCAAACTGTGTTGGCAAAACCACATTATATGATGTCAAAATGATTTTAATCTTATTTAAACAGAACATTACTGTTCTATTAATGTTATGTGAAAAGTTGTATTATTTTCTTGTCACTTGCTGGCATCTCAAAGCTGCTGTTCTTTTTAAACGAAGCTTCGGAAACTAACGCTAATGAGCAACATTTGAAAGTTTGCTTTGGTTAAAATAAAGTAGCATAAATAAAATCTGCAACAAGACCAGGAGCTGATATTTCAGATATTTAAATGTGGTGTTCTGTGGGAAATAATGAGCAGTAAATATATTTTGTAGATAGCTCACCAGTCCTGTCAGGATTTAACAATTTCTGCAGCTAACAGTTTTACTGTTTTAAAATAATGACAACCTCCAAAATGTCATCAAATTTCATGTGGACACTTTTTAAGGCCCCCACATATTCGGGCGTACTGGACAACCTGGACTTTTACAGTGTTGTCAGTTTTATGTTGTGCAGTTATTTACATGGAATTCTGTGGGGATTTACAAGCACAAAAACAGCAACAGCTAGCTGTAGTACTTCTGGTGCTGCCTGGAGCCACATCGTACTGGAATTTTAAAACATTTCTCTTGAAATAATTGTCTAATACAAAACTGTAAAGGCTTATTTTAAAAAATGTTTACGCGGAATGTTATAAAATAGGAATTATTTTGAGATGTGAAATCTACTGTGGAAACTGCTCAATCAAACCAGTTCCACTGAAACAAACTCCAAACAACTTATGTTCTCCAGCATCCATCCATCCATCCATCCATCCATCATCCATCCATCCATCCATCCATCCAATCCATTCATCCATCCATCCATCCACCTATCCCTCCCTCCATCCATCCATCCATCCATCCAGCTATCTATCCATCCATCCATTCATCCACCTATCCATCCATCCATTCATCCACCTATCCATCCATCCATTCATCCACCTATCCATCCATCCATTCATCCACCTATCCATCCATCCATTCATCCACCTATCCATCCATCCATTCATCCATCCATTCAGGCACCTATCTATTCATCCATCCATCCACCTATCTATTCATCCATCCATCCATCCATCCATCCATGCACCTATCTATTCAGCCATCCATCCATCCATCCACCTATCTATTCATCCATCCATCCATCCATCATGGAAACAGCCATGTAGGGAACACCTACGAACCATTCACTCTCTAAAACATGTCACTCAGAACAGATGTTACATCATTTGATTCAGCAAGACAGTTCATCTCAAGTCACTACCTATAATCACTCAACATTTATGATGTTCCCTGTTTGCATCCATGTTCCACAGGTAAACAGAAGGCCAAGCAGTAAGGAAGACAAATGTCACTTCTGGGGCCTGCAGCAATCAATAGCTTCTATTCCCTCAAAGCTTTTAATAACAATGTAGGCAAACACAAAGCAAAGCTTCAGCTCGAGCTGACATTCCCCCGTTATCATCTGGATGGAATGTAATTATCCTGCACAGGGAAACAGCTCTTTCAGCAGGAGGCATTCTTGGCAAAATGTTCACAGCTTTATTCTCACCATTCATTTTATCTGTCTGCTGAGTATGAAACAGGTCTGACTCTCCACAGAAACACATACAAGCTCTACCACCTGATGTGTAAAAACAGAAAAAACATTTCAGGGGTCAAATCAAATGTTATAGACAGAAAACATATTGGTTTAAGAAAAAATAGCAATTTCTGCAAAAACACAGAATATGGCTGTTACTGTGATTCAAAACAGTTAAGCCATGAGTTGTCAAAGAAGCTTAATAAAAGCTGAAATAATGTAAACAAACAGTTATAAATTCAGGACATAAGCGAAAGTAATCAACCCAAATTACATTTAGCAGTAGAATGAAAGGTAAAATGAATAGGATAGGTAAAAACTAAACTTTACCAAAACAGTAGCTAAAAACTAAAATGTGAATAACTGTAATTAATTCTAAAATAAACAAACCATAATTAAAAGCTAATATTAGCAAACTGCAGCTGTACAATAAAATTAGTAAGCTATAGCTAAAAGATAACTAGCCAAATGATAAATTGTGAAAACTGCAGCTAAAAGCTAGAGTCAGCAAGATCACATCTAAAAGCTAAAATAAAAATATCTGTAACTAAAAATTACAATTAGCTAAACATAATCAAAAGCTAAACATGGGAAAATCATAGCTAAAATTGACAAAGTCATAACAAAAATATATATTTTAGGAAACACAAATAAAACAAGTAGATTCCAGAAATCATTTTTTTWAAAAACTGATGAAATATCAATCACTTTATATTGGCATATTTTTAATTAACAGATAAAAGCACAAATATTACAAAAACCAAATGTCAAAGTAACTAATTTTTAAACAAGATGATGCTTCAATATATAAATGGTTTGATTTAAAAAATATACAAAAGATACTATATCCAACGCTGGTGTGAATGCTTATTACACAATAAAAGAGCACATGTTGAAGGAATATGAAAGCATGAAGCAATTAAAACAACTATAATCTATAAATTTTTAATGTAAATAATAATGCATAAAAACACAGCTTTTATAAAACAAGTATTAAATCAATGGAAATTTACATTTATTTTAAGTATTTCCTTTGTACTAAGTTTCCTTTCCTAAGTACTCTGTGTATTAAAAATACACTTTGTATTTAGATTATTTCAATAAATGGAAAATTTTCAGAATGGCAACTTGCTAATTCAGACACTTGCTTTCCACAAGCATTAACAAAAAATCATCCTGTGCTCGAAAAAAAACCTGCATACTTTCTCATCTTCGAGGTCATGCAGATGTTTAGTCACAGATTAACTATGACTAAACAGTAAAAAGCATCATTTAAAGAAAACACTTCTGTAAATTATGATAGTTCCCACTTATGGTGCCTTTGCAGGCCATATCCACAACACTCAAAATATTTTTTAAAACAGACTTTTTCCTGTATTTACATCTCTCATCCACACAGCAACAACAAGGGAAGTATTTGATCCTCTACCAACCATTAAGCGTTCATGCTCCTACAGACCAGTTTGACCCTTCTAATCAACTTGTTGCCTGCATTAAAGTTCAGTCCATTTATCATTAAAGACAGCTATTTTAAATTGTCACCTGTACAAAAGACTCCTGTCCACAGACTCAATTAATCAGTCAGACTCAAACCTCTGCAACATGGGCAGGCCCAAAGAGCTGTCTAAGGATGTCAGGGACAAGATCATGGACCTGCACAGGGCTGAAATGGGCTACAAAACCATCAGTAAGATGCTGGGTGAGAAGGAGACAACTGTTGGTACAATAGTAAGACAAGAGAAGAAATACAAAATAATCTGTGGCTCCATGCAAAATCTCACCTCGTGAGGTATCCTTGATCATGAGGAAGATGAGATCAGTCTAGAACTACATGTGGGGAACCTCTTAATGATCTCAAGGCAGCTGGGACCACAGTCACCAAGAAAACCATTGGTAGCACATGACGCTGTAATGGATACAAATCCTGCAGTGCCTGCAAGCTCTTCCTGCTCAAGAAGGCACATGTTCAGGCCCCTCTGGTTTGCCAATGAACACCTGGATGATTCTGAATGAACACCTGGATGATTCTGAGAGTGACTGGGAGAAGGTACTGTGGTCAGATGAGATAAAAATTGAGCTTTTTGGCATTAACTCAACTCGCCATGGTTGGAGGAAGAAATGCTGACAATGACCAAAAGAACACCGTCTCCACTGTCAAGCATTGACGTTGGACACATTATGTTTTTGGAGTGTTTCTCTGCTAAGAGCACGACTACTTCACCACATCA